ATATATATATATATATATATAACCCTATGAAATATATATTAATAATTCATGATATATTTTTGTATTCCACAAACCAACAGTTTTTCCCGCTTTAATTTGTTTTCGATCTGCCTATGAAATGGCAATCCAAACTATTAGATGATCATGAAAACTTCCTATTAGGAAAATACTCAAATGCACATAATCAATGAACAGTAACATAAACCATTCCCACAATATAAATCACGATAATAGACAAAAAAGGTAAAAGAATCCAATATAAAAAATAAAAAAAAGTGTATGTGTGTTATTAAATGAACAACTGTACGTCCCTCAACAGTCAATAATTGCTACAACCATCCAAATAATGTCAATAGAACATTGGCTAACTTATTTGCATAAAACTGGTAAGAAAACTTATGGATAATAACGATATGACATTATACTCACCATTTTCTGGAGTGGCTACCGTTTTATAACAAGTTGTTGCAATATCAACATAAACACCTGCATCAACATTTAGCGAGACAAATCAATCACTAACAAGAACTATTGTTGACATTTTATTTTCTCATACAATAATTTCCCAGTCAAGCATTCCATTTGTCTATGCCACAATCCTTTCACATGCACATATTTGTAATAGGAAAGCATAAAATTCCAAGGAACCCAGAAAATATTGTGCATATATTAAAGGGTAACTTATAGTATTATGATTCAATAATTTTTCTTGCTGCAAATTCTTTTCAAGCAAATTCTAGGTAACAAATTTAGCAAAAGCACATCAAAATTTTCAGATATGCATCACGTTTGTTTTGCTTCCACCATAGAAGAGAAGTGTTTCAGTATTTCAAACACTTTTGAGGAAAAATTTGGACCTTCCTTAGAAAAACCATAAATAATAATAATAATCATTCTAGTATTTTATAAAAATTTGAAATATATAATAAATTACAGAAATATGAATATTTTGTATATTCAATATTTGCAGATACAATTTAATCACTTAGTAATTCAAATTTCTCTAAATGGTAAATTTGTGCACCCATCACTTAATATTTAACCTTGAGGATAATAATTGTAGAAGAATTTCACAAGTTCATTACCATATCATATGAATATCAGATTTAGGCCTAAACTTAGAAAAGCCCCAAAGGTTATAAAATAAAAATAGAGTTCAAAATTTTCAACTATAAGTATATTACAAGAGTAATTGCTTCAACATTTGATAAGGGGCAAAAGGAATTGATCCTTTAAATAAACAAACACCAACTTGTTCGAAATAAAACTACAAGAACAAGAAAAGCATCAGAATTATCCATGTCAATATTTGGTAGTAACAATGTCAAAGTCAATATTAAGTTCAAATCCTATAATATATGTTACAGGAAATTTCAACTAAAGACCGCCAACGAAGATCAAGTTAAAAAGTCAAGTTATCAGCCAGAGAAACTTTATTTTTAGAGTTACTAATACTTGGTATCATTCTTCTAAAAAACCAGCCTCCATCAGCGCCTACGCGGCACCTTGGGCCCGAGCCCTAGCTAGAGGATAGAAATAGGCCAATGGGCGGGGTAAAAATGGTCATTTCCTCCCAAAATGGGTATAATAAGTTGTTTAAGGGCTTCAAGAACAAGTTCAACTTCAGAAAAGATGGTGGCACCAATGAGGTCAGAAATAACAATGAATTGGAAGACTTGCCCCAAAAAAGGGAAAAAAAATTGGGGTGGGGTGAGGAAAAAAAGTGAGGGGGGGGGGAGGTTGCAACCGGCAAGGAGAGATTAAAAAGATATTGGAAATAAAACAGAGTCAAACAAGAGGTCAAATAGATTTTGGAAGTGAAAAGGGGTTACAGAAAAGGGAGTAGCGCTGGCAATGGGGCGAGCTTGGGTGGGGCCAACCTTGGCCTTAGCCCGGTCCTAGTCCGTACAGGGCCAGCCCAATCTTGGCCCGGCGAGAATCAGGCAGAAGAGGCCCTTGCCTTTACTGAGAAAAAATGTTACGCAAAAAGGACCGGGCTGGGCCGAACAGGACCGGCCATGTCATGGCCCTGACCCAGGCCTGGTCCTTGGGCCACATCTTAAGGCCTAGGCACTAGTTTTCTAGGCAGTGCCCAAGCGGGCCCCCCGGCCCATGCCAAGCCTAAAAAGGAGCTTAGGTAATTATCTTTTGCAAAAGTACCCCGTAAGACCATTTATTTTTGATGTAAGAAGGTCACAACCATCTTTGACTGTTGGATTTCAAATCGGGCAGCTAAGGGTGCGTCATTGACCAGGCTCAAAGTTCAAAAGCAAACTTCTCGAAGTCTATGACCCATATTAGGCTATCAAATTTGACATCTGAAGGTTGAGAGTTATTGGGAGTTTGTGACCTCTTCGTATCTAAAGTAAACACCCTCATAGTATACAGACCCTTTTTTCTTGGGGACAAAAAAGCATACTACAACAAAAGTTTGTGCATAGAACCTCAAATTTCAGGAATAGAACATAATCAAGCTCCTTATATGAATAAAAAGTTACACTTTACATTTGCTTCATAAAATATTACACATTGAGTATCTCGTTGTTTATTATTCTAGGAAGTAAAATATCACAAGGCAATAATCGAAGTTCACGATGAACGTTGATGATCCAACTAAGAGACAATATCACAAATAAATGTTAAGAACTCGCGAATAGAAAGTGATCGCATAAAACTATCGAATGAACTAAAACCTAGCACTGGAATGACCAGAAATTCATCTCCATGACACAATTTAAGATTGTCAAACTATTTGCTACAACATCTACTGTGGAATCAACTAAAACCTAGCCCTAGAGTCCAATTTTCTAAGCAAACCACAAAAAGGCCAAGTATCGTGGCTTGTTGCATCATGGCCGAAAGCTCAACAAACTCTGACATCTCCCTCTCTTCTCTGGAAGCCACAACAAGCTAAACCTTACTCAATGGACACAGTAAATTTACTGAAACCGAAAACATAAACCCAAAACCCTGATTCCTGAACATGAATAAGAATCATAAGAAAAAAACACAACTGCTCAAGAGGATGAAATAAACTAAATCTTGAACAATCAAAGATTCAAATTTTTATTGAGAAAATAAAAGGTACACCTAAATTTTGAAGAAGAATAAAAGGAAATGAAACATACTTGGACAAAAGGCGCTACCACTGTGTCCTATGTTTCTCTTTGAGCAAGCGAACACTGAAGGGCGCATAAAAAACAATCGGGTTTTAATTTTTATAGGAAAATCTACAATAACACCTCCCAATTGTGATCTACCCACATCCAACCCCCAATTGAAAGGCAGGTTGAACCATAAACCTTAGAATGTTTTTTTTTCTCATGAACCCCCCTAGTTGACTATAGACATTTTTAACAAAATTACCCTTCTATTAGCGATTTTTTTAGGTAAAGTAATTTGTGAGTCAGCGGTTGCAAGAGCCCCTGACTCACAACATCCATCTCTAATATGAATATCATAAAAAACCACGAGGCTAAAATGAAGTTAGACTTTGTAAAATAATTTTTAAAAAATCACGTTTTAAATTTTAAAAGTTTTGTTTTTTTCATATTGATGGTTATCAAACTTAAATCATGAATCTCTAAAATTTTAAAATAAAAATTTATTTTCAAGATAGATTTAAATAGAGGCCCATATTTGTACCTGACTTAAAAATATCACCGACGTCCTTAACCACCCTAGTTGACTATTGATGCTTACTTTGAACAAAATTACCCCGCTTTATGATGAACAATCTTTCCTTTCTCTCAGACCCGAGACCCGAACCTGATGGCTAGACCCAACCTAGGTCCGGGTATGGGTCCAAAATTGGACCCAACGGGTCGGGTCTGGGTCCAAATCTTGGACCCGAACACCATTTGAGTCTGGGACTGGATTCGGGTTTGGATCCCATATTTGCTAACTTATGAAAATACATTAGAATATATTTAAATACATAAATATTTTAATTTTTGAGTTGGGTCCAATCAGGTTTGGGTCCCACATTGTATTTTCAAGTCCTGGTCCAGACCGAGTTCAGTGAGTTTGGGTCCGAACTGGACCCAGACCCAGACCCGAAACCCACCCGACTTGTTGCCACCCCTAATTAGTCATCTCTCTCTAACACAGTCACCCCTAAAAACCCTCTCCCTCTCATAAAGTACCAGGCATGTTTGATAACTGGAAGGTAAATGTTCCCTGGAAATTAGAAGTTCTTCTTTGCTGAGAAGAAAGAAGTTATTGTAAGTAGTTTTGGGTTTCTGTGTTTGATAACCTATTGGAATGTTAAAAAAGTTCTAAATACCTGTGTTTGATAACCTACTGGATGATTAGGAAGTTATGAATATCTGTGTTTGATTAGCTGTTGGAGTTTAGAAGTAGTGAGAGGTAAGATGTGAAATCTTATGGTTGAGATCCAATTTCAACAAGAAGGTTCCAATCAATTACCTGTAAAGCAACCCCTAATCGGCCGACACATCCCTCACAGCAATAACACTTGATTTAGAGATTATTTCAATATGAGACTTGGAATTCTAATGAAATGACTCCTCGAGATAAAATTCAAGCAAAATGGCATTACATGGCTAATCAATCACAAATTCTTACCAATCAAAAACTAGAAAAGTCGAAAATAAAAAAAGTAATATATGACTCAACAAGAATCTAGCGTTTAGACAACTTCTATTTATCTGTAATGAACACAATGAGAGGATGAAAGAACAATAAGCTAAGACCAGATAGAAACGTGACATTCCAAGTACCAGGTCTTTTAAATCCAAAACGAATATTCTGCATGTATCTTACGAAGGTCTATTAAATCCAATTTTTCATGCTCTGCATCTAGGAAGATAGTTCTTCTGATATTATCAAAATAAATCAGAGCATATTTTCTGATATTGTTCTCCATCTATTTTTCTCAATGTTTATTGCTTAAAAGAATGAATGCAATGCTTTTTTTCATCTAACTCAACTGAAAAGAGGTTAGAGTAGAATTCAGGATGAATAAGTTCAGACTTGCAGCCATAGTAGAACACTCGTAGGAGAGAGAAAAAACAGATAGAGAGAAACCTAAAGCCACAAATTTCTAGTTAAAACTGTTAATTTCCAAGCTCAAGCTTCCTACAATCCTTGCCTTTCAAGCAAAAAGCTCAAAGAATATGCGGAGAGAGAACTAACTACCACCAAGTACTTAAAGCTAATCAATTCCTACAATAAAAAACCAGCTATCTTTCCACAAAAAAAAGAATAACCAGCAATATCTCTCTAGCATCAAGAGTTTCTCAGGACAAGCAGAAAAGCTCCTGAGATGAGCGAAAGGGAAACTCGCCTCGTCTATAACCATAATTAACAGAAACATCTCTCTTCAATCGACAATTCCACGCAAAATCTGAGGAAGAGGAATCTCTAAAAAAAGGACGCGTACCACGAGGCCTGCTTTTCCTCCCTCTGAGCGCGTCTCTCTCTTAACGAACTACAAAAGGCCATCAAACGAAACCCTAGGTCCACTGGATTTCTAGAGAGAGTGATATATTTCCATGTACGGATGAGTCTAAAACCCTGATTTTTTGGTAGCAGAGAAAATTCAAAAGCACAGGAAACATCAATTCTCTCGCTCCCTGGGAGAGCTTCAGGGAAGAAGCCAAAAGGCGAGACATAGAGAGAGAGATTTGGGGTAGAGGGATTTGAACAGAGAGAATGAGAGTGCAAAGGCATGAGAGCTCTAGAGAGAGAGTGCAGAGGTGTGAGAGCCTAGAGAGAGAGAGAGAGAGAAAGGTCGGGGATGAGAGAGAAGATTGGGGAGAGAAAGAGGCATTAGAGAGTACCTGCGCGAGTAGACCTTGGCTTGCGCGATCCGATCGGAGGAAAGCAGGGAGCAACTGACACAACAAAAGAAGGAACGCCGCTTTTATTTCACGGGACGGGGAGGGATTTTTTTCCCGGGCAAAACATGCGTTTTTAAGTTCCGAGTATTTTTACACGGAACTTATTTTTGGCTTCATTCCGAAGGTCTACGGTATCCGGTGTCATCAAATTTTTATTAGTAACTTCATTTTTTTTTGACGAAACGTTCCAAAATTATATTAAGAGAGCTAAGCAAAAGATATTACGTCATGATCGAGGGTGATAGAAGCCTTTAGCCAAGGAATTGGCAAGGGCATTTGCTTCATGATACACATGCGAAAAAGAAATAGAAAGGGGATGTCCATAATTTCCAGCCAAATAGACCGGAGTTTCCATAAAACTCGCCTATCCTTCTTGCACCATCCAATAGCATTTAAGAAATCACCTTCCACTAAACAGTTACTGCCAAGATTACTAGAGATAAAGAACTTTAGCCCTTGTAACAAGGAGACAAGTTCTGCGTGATTTGCAGTAGCATGGCCAAGAGGGCCAGCGTAAGAAAAGATGATCTCTCCCTGGCTATTACGCAATACCCTTCCTATCCCAGTCAAACCGGGATTCCCTAGCGAACGTCCATCAAAATTCAATTTGAAAAACCCCTCCTCCAAAGGAACCCAAAAGCTATGGGGTCTTATCTTGACTTTACCCGAAAGAAAGAGATTGGGCAAGTTAAGAACAACATCTGGGAGAGAGAGATCCCACCCAACCTTAGTGACCGAAAGCCAATGCCAGATGGAGAGCTTAATATTATCAAACAAACCATGATTTTCTGCCATACTTATTCCTTCAAAAGTACGTATGTTTCTTTCAAGCCATATCTCTCAAAGGACCGCCCCTATAACAATTTTCAAACTATTTGGCCACTAGCCTGTAAATGAGGAAACTCTAAATAAGAAACAATGTCCACAACCGATAAAGGGAGGGATGCTTGGATACCCAATAAACCAAAAAGGCAATACCAGATATTGGAGGCAATCTTGCAATGAATAAAAATACGACTTCCCGTTTCCTCCTCCATTTTGCACATAAGACAAATATTAAGTAAAATCTTTATCTCTTTTAATCAAATTATGAACAGTAAAGATCTTATTTTTGATGGCTAGCTAGATAAAGACATGCACTTTATGGGTATCGGTCATTTGCAAACCTTAGGTGCAATTGGATGTGACCACCGCCATCTATCATGGAAGAGAAGTCTATAGCAAGACTTTATTGAGAAGAGCCCCTCACATTCAAGTTCCCCAACGAGATCATCCAAGTGATAAGGGGAGATGTAAACCTAGTTCAAAAGGCTCATCAACTGCAGCCATTGATTATAAGCCTCCCCACTAATTCGATTGTATGGAAAGGTAATATTCCAGATTACATTTGAACCTGTATGTTCCACCAGTTCTGCAATCGAGGCATTCTGGTGTAGCACCTTTTCAAAGAGGAGAGGGAAAGTTAGTTTCAAAGGAGCCTCCCCCAACCACTTATGGTGCCAAAAAAAAGCTCGCAACCCATTCGCCACATTCCGACGAAAGTGGCTAGCTATCATCAGTCTGCATCGATATATGGGCTTTCATAGAAATGAAGCTTCTCTAGAACGACCACCTTCAATCCACATACCAAGATTGTCCTTACCGTATTTGGAAGTAAGGACCTCGAACCACAGATGGTGATGACAATGGAAACTCCGCCACCACCATTTACAAAGTAGTGCTTCATTCATATATTTAAGTTTGCGGATACCCAAGCCGCCTTCCATCTTGGGGTGCACACTCGGTCCCATCTAAGCAAATAAAATTTATGAGACTCCCCATAGGATCCCCACAAAAAATTGCGCATCATCAATTCAATTTTCTTAATAATAGAGGCTGACATATGGAGGAGTGACATAAGATAAATAGGCAAGTTTGATAAGTAAGATTGCAACAATGTCGCTCTGCCACTCAAATAAAGATACTTGGGCTTCCATAAGTCTAATTTAAATTGAACCTTTTGAATGACCTTGTCCCAGATTGAAGCCAAGTGTCTAGTGAGGGAGATGGGAAAGCCCAAGTAAGAGAAAGGAACGGATCTGACTACACAGCCAAGGCGGGCAGCTAAAGACAGGGCCAGAGGTGGTTGGCAATTGATGCCAAAGAGAAAGGTCTTCCTATAATTGACCTTGATGCCCAACGCTGCCTTGCAACAGTCCAAAAAACATGCAATATTAGAAACTTGAGCTTCAGAAGCCTCACAAAAATAAGGGTATCATTAGCAAATTGTAGATGTGATATAAGTGGACCCGAATCAGAGACTTTGAAACCTTGAAATCTGCCTTGATTCTTAATCTTTTAGAGCATGAGACTAAAGCATTCAGCATAGATAGAGAAAAAGAAGGGAGATAAAAGGTCCCCTTGACGAATACCCTTAGTAGCCTTAAATAAACAAGTTGGAGAGCATTTAACCAGGATACAGAAATGGGCCGATGAGAGGGATCCAAAACATGTGCAATAATACGGAAGTTTATCAAATGCCAAACACGTGCAATAATAGGGAAGTTTCTTCTTTCCCTTCTTAACTTCTCGCTATCAAATAAGTCCAGAGAGAGCCCTCCTCCATTATTGCATCAAACCCTCAAATACTTAAAAAAATTAGAGTAAAAAGAAAATGGTTTGATAGGGCAGCAGTTCTATTAAAATAAATAAAGCACCACCTCCTAACTCAACAAAAACTACAATTCAAGCCTTGAAAAACCTTTACATAGATCATCTGAACTTGAACATTATGGTTGTAAAAAAATTAATATTTCAAGCTCTAAAAATAGTATATATTATAACAAATTATATAGACCATCTATTTCACCCTAAAAATAAGTGTTAATGGAACAACAATATTTGTACCATTTTTTAGATTCAAAATTTATTGTTGGTATGGGAAATTGATTTTAGAGCCATCATAGATACTACCCTTCCAAAAAGTGCTTCTAGGACAAGGATTTGAGATGAAACTTTATTTTATTTTTATAAAACCTAGGTCTTATAGAAACTTCATCTTTTTATAAATGAACAAGAAAAACCTAACAGATATAAGAAAAAAATGCGAGAAAGCTATATCTGGAGAATTCGAGAAAAAAAGAAAGAGTAGAGCCAATAGAGTTAAAAAAACAAATGGAAATGATCAAAAGGATCAAACACAATGTTAAAAGGAAAAAAATAATAATGGAAAGGATCAAATAGCATGTTAAAAGGGAAAAAAAAAAGGGATTAATTTGAACGAAAATGGAAAATGTATATTCCTAAGGTTCATAGTGAGATACATTTGATTAGGGTACATTAGAACTAAGGGGGATATTGTAATTTTTGGTTTAACAAACGAATGGCTGTGATTGATGGAGTGCCTTGCTGTTTAAGAAATTTGGATCGTTGTTACATATTTTCTTTCGGAAAAAAGACGTATAACCCCCTTTCTACAGTTATAATCGTAAGTAACCCCTTATGTTGCCCCCTCCAAGTTAAAAGATTTAGACGTTAACCCCTCTGCATCTTTTTCATTATTCAAATTACAATATTTATTGTTTTTGTTTATTTTCAAATGGCGCCTTCATCAAAAAAAATTTAAAACCTTAGAAAACCTCCCTTTTTCTCTCTCTTCTTCACGCATGAACAGCTTCCTTCCCTCTCTCTTGCAATCTCCGTTGAATCTTCATGTATATCTGAACCTCACAAATAGGTTAAAAGACTCAAATTCCATATATAGGACGGGGTTATAGAAAAAAAAGAAGATAAATATTGTAATTTGGATAATAAATTTTTTAAGAGGAAAAAAATTTATATAAAGATGCTATATTATAATGTAGAACTATGGATGCTCGTCAAAAATTCATCGGAAAAAGTTGTTTTAATATTGAAATACCCTTTAATTGATCATCTCGACATCCAGATATATGACTATGAAAAATCAAAAGATTTTAAGTCTAAAAAATAGTGCATTTTACAACATATTATCTACATCATCCATTTTCAAGATTTTCATATGTTTATAGATCTACTTCGTTTTAACCATTTTTTAAATTTAAAATTTTACAGTTAGATAAAAAAAATAGATTTTGAGATAATCCTAAGAACATTTTACATCAAAATTATATACCATGATGAAATTTGAAGGTGCACCTTACCTCTACTAAATGAAAGACCTATATAATCTTTTACCGGGAAATACATTTTTTTTTCTTCTCCCCTTTCTTTTGGCAAAAGATCACTTACATGTGGTTTTTATTATAATAAGATAAATTTCAAAATAAAATCAGCATAACAATAAAACCAACATCTTAACAACTTGATGCCATTGAAACAACTATGTACTATGCTTGAAAATAAATAAAGTTATGATTGCAAGAAACAAAATGAAGGGTGTCAGAGATTACCTCAATCGGGTTTATTACACCCTACACCGAGTCACCACCATCCGATGACGTGGGATCAACAATATAACTTGAATCTCGAACCGGGAAAGCAAATTTCGGCCAAGTCACACCAATGGAACATGAACCTTTTGATCACAAACTCAAACCCTATGTGAATTCTCTTAGCAACTAGTTTGAGGGAGATGGATTCTCGTTTGCTAAACCCTAAAGCTCTTAGCCATAAATCCTTATTTGAGAGATAGAAGAGAAGAACTCCATAACGTAAACCCTTAGGTTCTTTCACAATGTGGGAGAGAGATTAAACATGAGAGAGATAAAATTTCTTAAGAGAGAGAGATAGAAAGATAAGGTGTAGAAATTTTTTTTTGGTAGAGGCAATCCTTTTTTATCGGCTTTGAATAAGATTAGGGTTTCTTAGGGTTTTCTTTGGCTTGCCTCTTCTTGTGATATTGAACATAGATTGTCTATCAAGGGTGACTTGTGAGGTGAGAGATCTGAGCCATCCATTCCATAGATGGGTCATGAACTTTATGGAAGGTGCATGAACCATTATCCCCTTTTTCTAAACTATTTTCTTATCGATAGAAATTAAATAAATTAAATCTAATCAAAATATTGTACATACCATAAAATAACGCAA